CCCAGGGTGATTTCTCTCTCCCCTCTCTCTCTCTCTCTCTCTCTCTCTCTCTCTCTCTCTCTCTTTCTCTCTCTCTCCTCTCCCCTCTCCCCTGCACTCAAGAGGCAGAGGCAGGCGAATCTCTGTGAGTTCCAGGCCATTCTGGTCTACATAGTGAGTTCCAGGCTATGGGGGCTACAGGGAGACCCTGCCTCAAAAAAACAAAAGAAAACAAAACAAAAAAGATATTAGACTAGAGAGAAAGATAAGCAAAAACAGGTCTCAGTGATATCTAAATTTTTCTTAATAGTCATAATCACAGAAATAGAAAGTGGTTACTCTACTTAGAGATTAGGTAGATATATAATAAATATATGTCATTTAATTTAACTATGTTTTGTTTGGTTTAAAGATGCATTTATTTTTATTTTATGTTTATGAGTGTTTACCTTCATGTATTTATGCACATATGCATACCTGATGCCCACAGAGGCTAGAAAAGGGAATTGGATCCCCTGGAATCAGAGTTACACATGATTGTAAGGTACCATGTGGGTGCTAGAAACCAAACCCAGAACAAATACTCTTAATCAATGAGCCATTTCTCCATCTCCTCTTGGAGAGGACTCCTGTTTGTAAGGGCATCTTAACAAAAAGATTTTTTAAAAAGACAAGGTCTCACAATGTAGCTCTCACTGACCTGGAACTTGCTATTTAGTCCAGGCTGACATCAAACTCACAGAAATCATTGTACCTCTGTCTCCCAAGGGCTGGGATTAAAGGTGAGTACAACCACACCAGCAAGAAAAAGCATTTTGAAACTGATTTGGGGGTAACATAACTCTAAACAACCTAGATGTCATTCCAGGTTATTTCCTTACTAACCCCATGTGAGTAGGTAAAATAAAAACATTATCTTATAATGTAATATTAACAGAATTCAGAGAGATGCCACAGTACAGCAGTGCCTGAACAAAGACATCCTGATTCAGTGTTGTTTAGATCCAAGAATGAGCCTCATCTGCTCTCAGAACTTGTTCCTTCTGAGTTCTCTCAGAACTATTCTTCTGAGCACCTTTGTGTACTGAACACTTTGCTCTGTATTTATTGAAACAATGCAACCAGTATGATATAGGAAAGGAAAAGATGAACTTTTTCTTATCAGAGAATGATTTTTACTTTCTGACCCCTACTGACCAGAGAAGCATACACAAACACAAACAGATGTTATCAATCTAATCCCACCAGTTGTTTGCAACATAAACTGGGATA